TTGGTTGAATTTATCAATTCTATTGGACAAACCATATTGGTTTCTCTCCTAAAATGAAGGGAAAATGGGTTGATCAAGAACAAAGTACTATTGCTGATTGCATGTGAGGAGGGGGGGGGGGGGAGGAAGAGATTATTAATAAATATTTGGTAACTTTTGGCTCTATCCAAAAGAGGAAAAGATGATTATTTTTTGGGAAAACAATCACATACATCTCGGGATTTTTTTAGAATATCACCCCACCATATTCTTAAGCTAACAGAGGTGTTTTTTTTTTTTTTTTTAAATCTGGTGGAATAAAATCAAGTGGGTCAAACTCAAACTAGATTTTGTCCACTAGATAGAAAAGAAAAAGAAATAAAAAAATATGGTGACACAATAAAATAATTCCATAATTTTCAGATCTCTTGGAACTCGCACATTGAGCAATGAAAGGAGCTCTTCTTGTAAGTAGTTAATTAATTGTTCATTGATTTATTTAGAGGTCTTCTCACATATAAATAAACAAATGAAGAAGTGGGCCATTATCAATAAAATGCAATTTAACTCTATAGGCATATATAGGATGATAAATCCCATGGATACATTACTACTGATTTGAGAGAAAAAGACCACTTTTTTTTGGCTCTTTTCATGAAGGGATCGTGTGGGTCAGATGGACTTTTTTTTTTTCTTTTTTATTGTTTCCTTCATCATTTGTAGCAAGATTGTCTTTTTGATTTCCTTTCCTGGTGGGTCACATGATTTTCCACTTTTTCTTTGGTAAGTGGTAACTCGATCTTGAGGATGAATTTTCTTTCTTTCTTTCTTTCTGTTTTTAAAGGGTGAAGAAATAAAGAGATCTGTATCTGTAGGAAACTAGGAATCCTATAACATATGATCACCATACATTGAGGAGATTACGCGGGCCGGATGGTCGTTTCACTTCATTGTTTATCTTGATAAATGCAAATCCATCGACACAGAAGCATCTCTATTGAACTATCATCATTCTAGTAAAACAAGTAAGGTTTTGGTGCTTTTGGAGAGAGACATGGAATCTGATTGATTTGCCTAGATAATGAGTGACGACCACTACATTTTTTCTGTGGCTATGAATGACCCCTAGCTGAGATGGTCACTAGGCATCCCTAAAAAATGAGTTCTCTAGGTATGGTCAGTGGTCCTCAGGCTTAATTTGGGAAATACTGTATACAAGATTTTGCACTATGCACATTTTTGTTTGTATTCCTCCCAAACTTAAGCCTCATGTGTACCCTGTTCTGTCCCAACGCCAGAGTTCCCCAGCAATGTATATATGTAATAACAGAAAAAAACTCTAAAAATTAGAAATTCCATATAAATATGATGATTACAAGCACATAAATATGTGTTACATGAATCCAACATTCCATTCTGTTTAATGTCATATACAATGTTAAATTACAAGCACAAAAATATCTCTCTAGGAGTTCCTACTTTCTGCACAAAGCTGCTGGCCAGGTGCTAATTTGCACTTCCTTCCCAAGATGTTAATTTGCTATTTCAAGAAATAAATTTTGTAAGAAAAATTAGGTGATTCATGGCTAAGATTAAGAGGCCGTTTGACAAGTCTTTTTCGAAAAATCTTTTGGAAGTTCTGACAACCAAAAGACAATGTAAACTTTTGCATCAAGATTTTAAGATTTTAACGGCTTGAAGACCGTTTGGTTAAGGCATATCTGTCCATATAAAGATGAGTTGAAAAAAAGGCGAAAAACTCAATTTGGACCTTTTTGAAAATAGTCTAAAATGGGCTTCATATATCTTTTTGAGGCTGTGACTTTCGACGACTGGATATTTTCTTAACTAAACGGGAAAAGATCAAAATGCGAACTGCCTAACTTCTAAAAAACTAACAACCTACACAAAAAATACACCAAACAGGGCTTAAATTACAAAACCCAAATGAGATATAGAAAGTGGACACAATTAACATCTTATTGGTTTAACTAGTGAGAAGAATTGGACCATCTGGCTGCGAATCTTAGTGGGGGAAAAAGTAAAAACAAGGGGCACGAATAGGAAGTATATGATTAAAATAAAGAAAAAAATGTCGGATTTGAACATATTTTTCAGTGGTTATGATTTAAATTATTAGTTGCATGTGGATGTCATTTCCGGTGCAAAACTACAAGCTCGAAAATGCGGGTGTAGCGCGGAAATTGGGTTTCGGTTCAGTTGCGCACATGTTGGCCAGTACCTGTCTTTTGAACACTTTTGCTTACCATCAAACAATTTAAATATACAAATACTTATTTCCCACTTTAATTACTTTTGCTTGCTTTTCTTTCTCTATAGACTATGGTTGTAAATCAAAATACAACAAAAGGCCATTTCTATAGTACTGATTACTGAAAAGGTACAACTATCTATTCTGGTTTTTCTCTATCTGTTTCCTTTTGATCTCTCTGTTTGTCGTTTGATTTTCACTCGCGAATTTTTTTTTGGGTGGCTCCCTTCGGGGAGTCCCCTTCCCATTATCCTTTTTTTCTCTTCTCGTTGTTTTTTCTCTTTTTAGTTTATTTTCTTCCCTCTTCCCCCTACTTTCATTCTTCGTTTTTCTTCCCATCTGGTTTTCTCCTTTTTTTCCTCTCCTTTCCCCCCGTTTCGTTTGTCTATCTCTTTTCCACTGGTCTTTTTTCTTCTCTTTTTGTGCTTTATTTTCTTTCTGTATGCATTTTGACTAGGGGGTTATTTCTCTTAGATCCTATATTAGGCGACCGATACTAATGGATGTTGCTTTACGTTTTGCCATCCATGGTTAAGTCAATTCTCTGTTCTCTTGTAGATGCAGTTCATGGTCAACTCTGTTTGCAATTCTCCAGCAACAGTAGTTATGAATGGCAGTTACAGTCTCTAGTAGCGGTTATAATGTTTGGGGCTTTTCCATCTTTTGCAGACCTCCTCCAACCATACTATTACTGATTCTTTGGGGTCTCTTTTGATAACCTCTCATATCAGTTTCTCTCGTCATTTGTGGTGGATTGGAGATGTACTTGTCTACTTCTGTTAGTGATTTTACTGTTGTTTGGTTGAAGAAGTTCTTTATGTTCTACTTCGATTTATATATTTTGTTATTTTTGAGAAATTGTATTTGGGTTTTTTGATTGGCCTTGTTGGTAATTCTCGGTATCAATTTTTTGAATGAATGAAATATGCTGCCTAAGGGCATTTTCAGAAAAAAAATATTGAAAAGGTACATTATTTAAGAGAATTTAACCAAAGTGAATTTGAGTAAAATACCAGTTGATTGGTTATTATTATTTTTTTGAGGCATAACAGCAAGTTCATTTCAATAAAATTACATCTCATTGGAAATCAACGACCTTACAAAGTCAGGTGTGTCTGACCAGGTCGTAGAGACATTATGGATGAGGGCATGATGCGGTAATTTATGAGCTAAACGTGTCATTTATGCCCCATTTGCTTTTTGGTATGTCAATTACTTGGGTAAATGCACTTACCTTGGTAAGTGTTTCCTAGGAAAGACTTACCCGTGTAAATGCATTTGTCCATATTCTTTTATTTCCCATGTAAATAAGGTAATGACCATCTTAGCTATAAAAATTCCATTATTAAAAGGGGCATTTTTTGTCTCATTTAAGTATTAGCAACTTTCTGCTATATGGGAAAGTTAATTAACCCACACCCAGGAAAATAAACATTTACTGGTCCCCACATAAATTTGAAAAATGAACATGGGTTTCTTGGTCAATAGGAATCAAAATCCCATTGACCAACTTTCCCCCCTCTCAAAATCCACAAAAAGAACACCCCCTTAGTGTAATTTGAGACCACCCAAGGAATCATATGACCAATATTGATAGGCCAGATAGGAGGAGATCATCCCTCGGGGGCCAAGATCTCACTCCTACAGTATATGTTGGTCTTATATCCCCCACCTTGGAGTTTTGCCAACTGTCTAGGAAATGATATTCAAACAATTTATTTCCTAATTTTACCGGTATGGTGTCGGAACGGGATCTGCTCCTCACACATGGGCGCTTCACAGGCACATCCACCGTGCATTAGGAACATCTCCCGTAAATAATAACTTATAAATACGTGAGATGTTCCCAATACATAGCAAGATGTGTGTGAGATCACATGAGGTGCCCTGCGTGAGGAGCAGATCCGGTCTCTATGGCGTCTGGTTAACTTGGAAAACAATATATACATATTGTGACTATCTTACAGATGGTTGACATTTCTTACATCTACTACTCACTCTTTTTAGAGAAACATTTGTTGCCATAGGTCTTACCTGCAAACAAAAATTATAGTAATTGGAAACTGTAAATTTTTCATTCATTTTCTACAACCAAACCTTTAGAAATTAAATTTTTGCCTTTCGGTATACAACTTACCTCATTAATAAAAGCTGGAGAGCGGAGGATTATTTTTGCCATCTGAAAGCTTGCCCAGTCGTCCTTCACTTGTTTGCCAAGAAAATGGATTAAAATGAAGCCACAAAAAAATAGTCAAAGAAAATGACTTCTTCCCTTAGTTTCACTGACAATGGGAAAGAGGAAAAGGGGGAAATCCCTTAAGACAAAAAGAAAGATATGTTTTCTATTTAGCCTCCGTTGTTCTAATGTCTATGTCCTAAAAAAGTAGAAAAGCGAAGGACAACAGCAAAGAGTGAGAAGAAGCACAAAACTTGCCCCATTCTCCCAGAAGAAAACCTTTTTTTTTTTTCTTTCTTCTCTTCTCTCAATCACAAATTGAAACATTGCGCACTATTGCATATATTTTTATCTCCCACCCATAAAATCCACTGTCCACTAACGGATCTCAATCAATTAGATTTTGGATTGGCTAAATCCCTCAAAATCAGCTGAATCAACTTACCAGAACCATCAAACAGACTATATCCCCAACACCAACTGCTTGAAAGATTTGGACGATTAATCCTATCTTGTTACTTGATGCTTCAAAGCATGCGTTAAGCTTTAGACATTATTAAAGAAAACAAGGGCTGAAGCAACTAATACTCTTTTTTTTAAGGAATAGACCGAAGCAAGCATTCAATGCAACATGTTAGATTTATTATTCCACATCCTATTCAAGCAAATAACACTTTCTGTTATGATGAAATAGCCCCTTCTCATTGGGGTTGATGGTAAACCAAGTAGAAACATGAACAAGCCTTTTAACGAAAAAAATAATGTATGTTTACTGCGCCCGATAGATATAAACTATGTAAATGCCACTGTTATCTCACTCGTGCCTGGGAAGAAAGAATAGGCACAAAGATCGCAAGGGATTATCTCCTAAACCACGCATCAAGATTCTGGTGGAGCCTCGAACCTTGTGGGAGTGTCAATACCCATCATACAGCAAAGTCCTGATATTAAGATTATAAGCAACACAATCCCCTGAACACCATGAGCACTAACATTGTTAGATTTCCGACTTGCTTGTTAAATGAGATGACAAAAACATACAAGCATATAGATGTTAAATGAAAACATAAAACCACCAGCCCAGATAAAAGATTCTTACCTTATGTCCAATTGTCATCCAAGTGGGGACCATGTTACTTATTCAGACTTACCAATCTATGAACCCAAATATGAAATTTCTTCAGTAAAAAGTCAGCCCAGCTTGGTAAAAGTAGCTACCACATATAGTTTAGCCTACGAATCCCTAGCCCTTTATATTGCATATACTTGTACGTTTGTCCAATTTAGTGAATACTGATTTAATGCTAATAACATGATAATCTAACCAATTGACTTAATAGTCCTGAAATATTTATTTCTTTTAGACCTTATGTGCGTATACTTGTATATTAAGTTTTTTTATTTTAAAGTGGCACCTTAACTTCATTCAGGTATGGTTCCCTTGTGCCTAAGGTTCCAAGAACCCCTTGCATTTTAGTCACGCTTCTCACTTTCAAATCACTAGATGAAGGCTACAAAAATGAAGCCTCGTCATACTAATCACAATACCAGACCCATTTTGTGGTTATTCATATTGAAAGCTGATTTTTTTAATGCCCTTATGTTGAGTTACTGCTCAACTTCAGGAGTCAGCTTCGAGGGCGACTCAACCTCCTTAGAGAAGAAGAAGATAAGGGATTAACAGGGGAGAATTCTCATGCTGCATTCCATTTCTCAATTCATACTCATAGGCTTAACATGTGAAGCCATGTGCAGTTAGTTATTATCAGGCCTGACGTGGCCTTCTCAGATAAACATACCGGATGGTAGGTTTAGTTGGTGAGGTCGAGTGGGGTAGTGTGGTCCCCGGGGTCTGTCTAGGTTTGTTTGGGTTCTGGTTTGGGGTACACCCAGTGGGTGGACTAGGCAGGGTTCTATCAATTCCCCCTCCCTTGGAAGCCACTTTGTCCTCAAGGTTGATGTGGGGTACAGCTTCTGTAGGTGAGAGTAGGATTCCCATGTGGAATCATCCTTTGGTAAGTTAGTCCATTCCACTAAAACTTCCTGGACTTTCTTCTGTCCATGCTTTACCCATCATTGATCTAGGATCTTGGCGGGCTGAGTAATAAGTTCTCCGTCCTCTGCAAAGTCAGGTAAAGTGGGACTGATGCTGGTTTGAAGACCCACATACTTCTTCAGAAGTGAGACATGAAACACCGGGTGAAGTAAGGAAGATGTTGGTAGTTCCAGTTTGTATGCGACTGCCCCAACTCTAGCAATGATACAAAGTGGCCCAAAGAAGCGGGAAGCCAATTTCTGCCATGCTCTCCTTGCTACTGTCATTTGTATATAAGGCTACAATTTCAAGTACACCATGTCTCCCACCTGAAATTCCACTTGCCTATGGTGTTTATCATAGTAATGCTTCATCTGTTGTTGCAACTTGAGTAGGTGAGCCTTTAGAGATCTCAAGACTTCATCCCTTTCAATGAGCTGGGCATCAACTTCAGCCACAGTAGCTGATCCTTTTTCGAAGGCAGGACTGATGGAGGGTCCCTCCCATATAAGACCCTGAAGGGAGTGGTGCCAATGGAGCTGTGAAAGGTAGTATTATACCAGAATTCTGCCCATGGAAACCACCTTAGCCATTGTCGAGGTTTTTCATTGGTGAAACACCTAAGGTAAGTCTCCAGACATCTATTGACCACCTCTGATTGCCCATTTGACTGAGAATGATAGCCAGTGGTGTAATGCAGGGTCATGCCTTGCAACTTGAAGAACTCCCAAAATCTGCTCATGAAGGTTGGATCCCTATCTGTAATGATGGTCTGAGGTGTGCCATGGAGTTTGGATACCTCATTGGTGAAGGCCCGGGTTACTGTAGATGCAATGTAGGGGTGTGATACGGCCACAAAGTGGGCATACTTCGACAATCTGTCAACTACAACCAGAATAACAAACTTTCTGGCAGATGTAGGCAACCCAGTGATAAAATCCATGGTGATTTTATCCCACACATGTCCTGGTATAGGAATAGGTTGAAGCAACCCAGCCAATGTCTGAGTGTCATATTTATGTTGCTGGCAAGTGGGACAAGCTCTCACATAGTCTGTAATTTTTTGTTTGAGGCCAGGAAAGTGAAAATAAGTAGCTAACCGCTTGTAAGTTCAAAGTATACCTGAGTGTCCTCCTATAGCTGATTCATGAAAAAGTTGAATGAGGGCTGTCTGATGCACTGAGTTTGGGTCCTGCTGTAACTGTGCTCTGATCTGGGCTAAAGTGGGGTCTACTTGGGCCTCTTCCTTAAGCTGCTCGGCTAAGGGGAAGGTGGGCCGAGAAGCCTGTAGTGTCTTCAGTTCATGGGTACGAGACTAGGCATCTGCAACTGAATTTGAGGAACCCGTTTTGTACTCTATTTGGTAATTGAAACCCAATAGTTTATAGACTCACTTCTGTTGTGTTGGGTCCAACAGGTGCTGGTCTAACAAATGTTTCAGCTTCTCTGATCTGTTCTAATGATGAATTGCCAACCCAGCAAATAAGGTCTCCACTTGTGGACTGCCATGACAAGTGCCATAAGTTTCTTCTCATAAACTGACTTAGATGGACAAATGCTTGCTGTAGTAAGCTAGGGGGTGCCCCCGTTGCATCAAGACTGCTCCCAGCCCCGTTCTAGACGCGTCACATTCAATTTCAAAGGGAAGAGTGAAGTCTGGCAGCACAAGTGTTGGAGGTGAAGTGACAGCCTTCTTAAGGCTCTCAAAGGCCTGTTGAGCTTCTTCTGTCCAAATAAACCCATCTTTTTTGAGCAGCTGGGTTAGTGGGCCAGCTAGGGAACCATACCCCTTAATAAACCTTCTGTAGTAACCCGTGAGACCCAAAAACCCTCTCAGCCCCTTCACTGTGGTGGGTCTAGGCCAATATATCATGCAACTGATTTTGTCCGGGTCAGCCATCACCTTTCCCGCCTTCACAATGTGGCCCAAGTAGTGGACCTGATCCTGGCCAAAGACACACTTGCTGGGCTTGGCATATAGTTTGCGGGCTTGAAGAATTCCCTAGGTGATCCTTAAGTGTTCTAGATGAGTGGCCCAATCAGCACTGTAGACGAGTATGCCATCAAAGAAAACTAGTATAAATCGTCTCAGAAAAGGCCTGAAAATGTCATTCATCAGGGATTGGAATGTAGATGGTGTACTATAGAGGCCAAAAGGCATTACCAAGAACTCGTATGGCCATCATGTGTTCTGAAGGTTATCTTGTGAACATCATTGAGATGCACTCGGATTTGGCGATAACCCAAGCGTAAATCCAGCTTAGAAAACACTGTGGCAGTCCTCAAGTCATCTAGAAGTCTATAATGGGAATTGGAAACCGGTCCTTGATGGTTATTTGGTTGAGGGCCCGGTAATCCACACAGAACCGCCAAGTTCCATCCTTCTTCTTGACTAGTAGGGCTGGTGAAGAATATGGACCTGTGCTAGGCTGAATCAATTTGTGGTCTAGCATCTCTTGGATAATCTTCTCCGGTTCAGTCTTCTGGAAGTGAGGATACCAGTAAGGCCTCACGTTAGCTGGTGGGGCCTCGGGTTTTATAGGAATGCAGTGGTCTTGGGCCTAAATTGGGGGAAGCCCCTTGGGCTGCTCAAACACATCCTAAAACTGCCGCAATAGTTGGTCTAGTTATGGTTTTTGGTTGAAGTCAGTCACCGGTATGATTGGGTCTATCATGATGAAACCCAGTTGCATAAGGATTGGTTGCTGAGCCCATTGGCAGTATTTCAGGTTGGAGTCTTAGGTCCCTATCAGCACCACCCCCGGCTTAATCCCTTGTAACATACACTCCATTCAACTAGAACTCCATGGTGAGGTTGCTTCAGTCACACACTATGCGACCCAATTGTCACAACCATTGCACCCCTAAGATTATGTCTGACCCACTAAACTCTAGGGTGTATAGATCAACTGTCACCCATTTACCTTGTATCTTCAACTTCACCCCCCTTACACAGACCATCACAAGTCAGCTTGTGACCATTAGCCATCTGAACTGAGAAATGTTCAGTGGAGTGCACCACCAGGCCCATTTGTTTTTCCAGCCCAATATTAATAAAGTTTAAGGTGCTTCCACCATCAATTAGTACAATAACAGCCTGACCCATCAAGAGCCCCTCTACCTTCATGGTTTGGGTTGAATTTCGGCCCATGAGGGCCTGAAGAGAAATTTCTGGGGTCTCCAGCCCAATAGGGGCCATATCATCAGGTTCAATGGACAAACCTTCTTCCACGTGGTCCATCTCTTCGAGGGGGTTGCCTGTTTGCAGAAAGTAGACTTTCTGGACCTTACAATGATGACCCGGTGCGAACTTCTCCTCGCAGTTGTAGCACAATCCCTTCTTGTGCCAAGCCTGCATCTCGGCCTAGGTCAACTGTTTGAAGGGCATACTACTTGGGCCCACTATTCTTCACCACTGGAACTTCTACCTGAACTGACAGGGTTTTTAAGAGAGGGCCAGGACACCACTTTACCCTCTTAAGCCGGTCGAGCTTCTCTTCTTGAATACAAGCGAGGGTAGCTGTCGCAGACAATGTCGAGGGTCACCAAGCTCTGACCTCCAGACGGATGTCTTCCCGAAGGCCTCCTACAAAGCTTCCGATCAGGGCCTTCTCAGTCCAACTGGTGACGCGGGTCAACAGCTTCTTGAACTCCACCAAATATTCCCGAACGCTGTTGGTCAGCTTCATCTTGGACAAAGCTTCATCAAATTCAACATAGGTAGACGATCCAAACCTCACGCACAACTCCTCTGTAAAGGCAGGCTAGGTAACATGTGGGGATGGGAGTTCTTGTACCACTGGAACCGTGATATGGCCTCACCTTCCAGGTAGATGGAGGCGATGGTGACCCTCTGGTATGTCGATATCTCGTGGAACTCAAAATATCTTTCATCCATGAAGATCCAAGTCACCAGATCCTCATCAGAAAAGGTTGGGAAGTGTAGTCACATAACTCTCTCCGAACACCCCCCACTCCAGTGGAGAAAGAGATAAGAAAGAGAAAAAAGAGAGAAGAGAAGAAATAGAGGAGGGAATTTGAAGTTCGGCTAATTGAGGTGTAAGGATAGGCTTACACAGGTATAAATCTTATCCTTTCCTTCCATCTCTTTAAAATTTTATCTATTTCAATCCTTATCTTCTCTCTCACTCTCTCTATAGAGTTCTGTTAGAAGTCAAAGTCTTATTTCAAATTATATATATATATGTGTGTGTGTGTGTGTGTGTGTGTGTGTGTGTGTGTGTATGTATGTATATCTGGCAGATCCCGTCCACCTCAAAGATAACAAAAAAATAATAATAATACTAGGGAGCCTCTGATATGTCGGTGGATTCTATCCACCCCAAAGAATTTTAGTAGGCTAACCCAGTGATGTTAATACACCTAAAATGGGACAGGTGTGCTGGTTTAGCACTTTGCCACCTGTTGCATACCTGAAAAGGGGAACGCATGTATTACTGCTGCAGCCTATATTGCCACTTGTAAATGGCAGGCTTCTAGGTCCCACTGTCAGTGGATCTTATCCACTTAAAAAGGGGACACCACATGTGTTACTGTTGTAAACCTGAGAAGGAGAACAGATGTATTGGTTTTCTATTTGTTGCAGCCAATATTGCCATTTGTAAATGACAGACCCCTAGGACCTACTGTTTCAGTTTGCTGCCAACTGTTACAAAGGGACCCACTATCATATGATGTGGAACTTATCCACTTTAAGAAGATAAATTACATTACCCCCTGAATTAGTTAAGATTCAATCGATGGATCCTATCCACCTCAGTTATAATATATATATATATATATGTAAATAGATAAATAAAATATAATCTGAATTCCCACTATCAAATCAAACTAGTAGGTCCCACTTGTCAGCGGGGCCCACTGTCAAAATATTTAAGTTCAAAACGTTGAAGTGGGCCATGTCCACTATCAAATTAAACTAGTGGGTCCCACCTGTCAGTAAGGCCCACTGTCAAAATATTTAAGTTTAAAATCTTAAAGTGGGCCATGCCCACTAACAAATCAACCTAGTGGGTTCCACCTGTCAATGGGGCCCACTGTCAAAATATTTAATTTTAAAACATTAAATCAAACTAGTGGGTCCCACCTGTCAATGAGACCCACTATCAAAATATTTAAGTTTAAAATCTTAAAGTGGGCCACACCCACTAACAAATCAACCTAGTGGGTCCCACCTATCAGCAGGGCCCATTGTCAAAATGTTTAAGTTTAAAACATTAAAGTGGGTCATGCCCACTATCAAATCAAACTAGTGGGTCCCACCTGTCAGCGAGGCCCATTGTCAAAATATTTAAGTTCAAAACATTAAAGTGGGCCATGCCCACTAGCAAATCAAGCTAGTGGGTTCCACTTGTTAGCGGGCCCACTGTCAAAATATTTAAGTTTAAAATATTAAGGTGGGTCATGCTCACCACCAAATCAGTATAGTGGGTCCCACTTTTTACCAATTAACGGGACTCACTGTTAAGATGTATAAGTTTAAATACATAAGTACCCAATGGTGTATGGGTCCCATGACCTATCTACCAATTGTGGGGCCCACTCATGGGTATAACCCGCTAAGAGTCCAAGCTGATGGGACTGCTTATACCTGTTTTTGGGTTTAACCCTTACAAAGTAGCTCTTTCAGATAAAATCAAAATCAAAGGGTATTTCCTTCAAGGAATATAATTAAGGGGTTTTAGCAGACATAGTGCATACTTATACACCCTGAATAGGGAAACCCTAATTCTACTCAAGTTCTTTTTTTTATGAATTATGATCAAAATAGAGAAAAACTGTTGATGCAGTCACAGGGAGAGAAAAAATCCCATAACAAGAGAATTACAAGCATGATGTCAATTGCACCATGTACAATTTCTTGTTGCATTGTGATCTCTTATAAGTTGTACCCAAGGCAATACCTCTTTCTCCTTCAAAGTAATTTTTTATATTTTTATCTTGAGTCCGCTTGAACAATGTATTAAAGGTAATTAGGGTCATTTATATCCAAGTCCTAGTTTTGCCAATTCGAATTTATGGAGGGGATGTACCATTCATATGGTAATGAAAATTTATTAGTGGAACAAATTGATGAATTTTCTTCTAGATTACTATATAGCATGGACACTTTTAAAATATGCAAAATGAAATAATTTAACAAATAATACTAAAAAATTCTGCACATATTAGAAACTTAATTATAAATGTATGGTAAACTTAATTATGGAAAGACACATCTTTGAGAAATGACGTTTAGCTTCAAAAACTAGATACAAACATATTACATGGGATACCCATACTCGTATTCAAGTCCAGGATTTGAGGAAATGGAGAATATCCCTGTTTCCCGTATCCATGCCTATGTCCATATTTGGGCATCATGGAGTTTAAGTTGAACAAAATAAGTTCTGTCTCACAATAGATCAAGAAATGGACTCAGCTGAAATATCTAGAAATCAGAGTGTGACAAAGAATGGCCAAGGGTTGCATAATTTAAATAATACAAAGGAGTATTGTATGTGTTGGCGAGAAAATCATATGCATGAACTTCATCAAAAACTTATGACAAAGTTATCACTTGTAAAGTGAGGACTGGTTCAGAGTTAGTAGCTAGAACTAGAAGTGAAAGTATGTCTCAAATCATTTGGAACAGGATTTTTTTTTGTTATACCCTTGACAGAAGCTCAAATTGACCCACTAGTAGATTGGTTCCTGTTCAACTGGACACAGTCCAGTTTTGAGACATTGATGGCCATTACCATTACTGATCCCAACTATCTAGGATCTTGGGAGGGGTTGACTGGATACAGGCCTAACCTTCAACATTTTTTGGAATGAAGAGGACATTCTCGGACTAAAACCCACATTCTCATGCTTGTCAGCCGGAGATTTTACCATTTGCACCCAGCAATGGTCCCTAGATTTAAGACATTAATAAAGACATATTTTTGACCTCTGACATTTTTTGGTATCCTTTTTCCAGTGATGTTACCTTTAGAAGCTCTGAAAGGTTTTTATTAACAGAAAATGCCCCAATATTAATCATCATTTAAAAAAGGAGATACATGGAAAACTCAGCCCCATCCCCACCATGTCCCAGGGGCTCATCAAGACAATGCCATTTGGATAATAGGCCAAAAGTAAAACACAAACAGGAGAATGCTTACCTACTATTCTAGGGCTAAAATTAGGTAGCCAAGGAATAAAAAGGCCAGACATTCGGTGTTTAGAATTCCCTACTCAATCTGACAACTAGGCCCCATTCATTTTTCGATAAATTGGGGGGGGTGGGGGCGAAAGTTGTGGGCCCCACAGAAAATAACTTTTCCAGTGTCCACTTTTCAGTAAGTTGTGGGTCCCACAGTAAATAACTTTTCCCTGGGTAAGTGATACCCCTCCCAGGTGGACAAATAACTTTCCCACCTGGGGGAAAGGATGGACATCATGGGACAAAATTGCCCCTTATAATTGCATTCTATGGGTAAAAATGGTCAAAGGAACACTTACCTGGGAAACAAAAGAACACAGATAAACGCATGTGTTTCCGAAGTGCATTTAGTCAAGTAAAAGGTGTAGTGATACAGTAGACCAGACCTGATAATATTAATTATGTGTGGTCCTATGAGTTCAGCCTTTTGTTACTTATTTTTTGGCTTTATGCTTACTTTCTTGTACTGTTATAGGTAGCAGGGCATTTTTGTCCTTACCAGAAAACAAATGGGGCCTTAAAGTAATGCCAAATTTACACAGATGAGGAAAGTAATCGATCATGAAGGAATAGGATCTCTTAGAATGACGGACCATAGGTTTGTCATATATTTTCTCTTCGACTAATTACCTCCCCAGTCATCATTTGGATAACAATACCACATCAAACAAAGCCCTACAATTATTTCCAGAATGTAAGAAAAGGCAGAGAAAGTAACTTTTTTTTGACAAGTAGGCAGAGAAAGTAACTTACAACTAGAACACCCTCTATAAGTGAGGATATAGTCTGGCAAACTCCATCACAAGCAGTTGAGTTAGCTGAACCGTTTCCTCCAGCACCTTCTGCAAGAAATCTTTCCAATACCTTGTAAGATGGATATCTAATTGATCTGTATGGATCTGAAGCATAAAGAACTGTATACTTTGCACCAGACTGCTCAACGGAACTGATAAGCTCAGAGAAAATTTCTCCTGCAGACCAACAACAACCAAAATCAGCATCTTGTGGTGGAATGAAAAGCATCTGCATAAGGATTTTCATATTAGCATTCCTTCTCAATCCCATACAAGGATTTTCAGAATATACCTTCTGAAGGGATATGGTCAAGATTCTCCAAGGACTGGGAGCCTCCATTACAGAAAAAAATCATATCAGTTTCCCCCTCTGGCCTATTTTTCATTCTGAAAGCCACATAATCCTGTTTTTGAATAAAAAAGAAAACAGGAAAGAAAAGAGAGAAAATATCACAATAGGCCTTAAAAATTGATATTCAGCTCATTCTGAATCATAAAATTTTGTCCAAGTTAAATTACATTAAGTGAGGGAAGATCTGCAACTTTCTTAAAATCACCACCATCTACAGAACATGACCCCAGGAAGGTAATGTCACTGACTCGTAGGTCATTCCCACAACTTTCTGTAAACCCTGAGATAAGAGATTTTTCCATTGGCTCTTCCTCCTCTGATGCTACAATATATGGGAATGCCATGGAAAAATTGGACCTTGTGAATGACACCTGCTTAATAAAAAAAGAAGAGTTCAAGTAACAGAATTTACTGAGCCTCAGTGATAATTGCAGAGAACCTGAATCTCAGACTCATGACTAAGAAACGGGTTTAAATGAACTGAAACATTGGCATTTACCTTCAGCAGGTCTAAAAGAGCAGAGTCTGCAATTTTGTTTCTGGAAATATCTGAAGATTGCAACTACAAGCAAGAAAAGTATATTATAATATTAGTCCAATGTGGATAATATTTAGGGAAAATGAACTGAAACATTGGCATTTACCTTCAGCAGGTCTAAAAGATTAGAATTTCATTGAAAATTTTGAAATTTTCATATTTTGCTCCAATGTGGATAATATTTAGGGAAAAACATGGACAAGTACAAAAGATAATGAAGAAAAATTTTCCAAACAAGAGAAAAAAGATCTGTCCTCCAACATGAACTGCTCATTCAGGCAAATACCTAGCTTGGAAAATGGTCTGGCTGATTTCTACAAGGAGCAAGGTAACAAGGCAAAAATTGGAATAGGGAGCACCAGGCTAGAGATAAACATGTCACTTGGTGTTTTATTCCATGAGAATGCAGTTGTTAGATTTGAGCTCTTTTTTACTTGGTGGTTTATTCCAACTTACCCCTAGTAAGTTGACTACTAGAAACATAAAGAAAAGATTGTAGGCCGAGGCCTAATAACAATAAAATGAAAACAAAGGCTCAATACAACTTGTCAATGCTCCCTCTCAACTGGGAATAGAGTTGATCATTGCTGTTAGAGCTAGCCGAAAAAGGGTAGATTAGTCATTTTATTTCTGTTAAGTTATGTGCTTATGTGGCAGTTTTAATAGAGACTTCCTGTCCCATACTTAAGTGGGGGGCAGTTTAGTCTTTGTACAACTAATTAGAGGCTAATTCATATTAGGGTCGACTGAAGGGTTTATGCTATCAGATTCGACTGTTCCTTTTCTTCTTCTTCTTCTTCTTCTTCTTCTTCCTCTGGTTCGAACTGCTGAAGCCACTGAGATAACATGGTATCACAACAGGACGTTGCTCTTTAAATCTCTGCTCATGACTGCTGCTCCTTTCTGTTCGTGACTTTTTTTTCTTCTCTCTGGACTGCAAATGGAGAACACAGACTCGACCTAGGTCTGAGAACACTTCGGCCTCTCTTTCTCTGCTCAGAACTTGATTGCCTTTCAAGAGAATAACTCTAGAAATAAGTGGATGATCGACTGAAGCTCTCCATCAAGGTTGGTTATCCTTTTTTTTGTGTCGTTGGTGTTTCTGGGTTGGAAAACCCTCAAAAATCTGCTCAGACTGATCAGAACTTAAAGAACTACGTTATTTGTAGCTTTGGTTCTTGGCAAAAGGCCCAAGAACAGGCTGTGTTTACAGTGACCGAATGGTGTATTACTGTAGTGGTTGTAGTTGATGTCTTTGGACTGGTAGTGACCTTAAAAAAAAAGGGTCAGACAGACCTGTACCATGTGGGACAGAGATGGTTGTGTGGTGATGCTTTTGATGCTCACCCTTTATTGAGCAGCCTCAAGA